AGGCATCGAACCCTTAACTAAAATCACAGCCCACTCGCAGTGTCACGTGGCGGCAGTTGCCCCGACACCGATTGGCTCTGGGCGCATCATCTGGCTGCAAATTAATTCCAAGTTCTATAACTCAGCACAAAAAGCTGTCAAAATATTGAATATCTTTATATACGTATATATAGACAGACACACACATATATTTTTTGCTAAATTGTCAACGTCAAACAAGCAGTAGAAAAAGTAGAAAATATTTTTTAGCAGAATGAAGGCGAGTCAATGCTCTTGCAAATCCCTAGCTCAGCTTTATGGCAATTTAATTTAATTCAAATTAATTATTTTTTTAAGCATATTATATAATATATATTACAATTTCTTTAACACATTTTTTTTTATTTAGTTACTTATTTTTTTATATTAATATATTAATCTAGATAAGAATATGATTTATTTTTAATGTATTAATTTGACAGTTTTTAAAAATTTAGTAATTACATGAAAAATAATTTAATTTTTTGATAATTTATTAAATTTATATAAAATTTTCTGAAATTTATATAATAATTTAATTTACTTGAGATGTAATCATTTTTAAAATTTATTTTTAATAAGTATATAACACCTATATAATATTAAATATATATAATATTTATTGATATTTCTTAAGTTTCAATAACAACAATTAATAATATTAGATACGTTATTAATTTTAAATTATTTTATCTATAATAAAGCCATGGAAGATTCGGCTTGGTTATTAAATTCATAAACAATTTTTTTAGTCTTTAATTTAATATATAACATATTTTTAATATTATATTTTACTTGAAGTTCATTCATTTTGTTAACATATTTTTATGTTAATTTATATTCTAACAAGATCAGCGCTACTTGAATGGAAAAATCACAATACCTATGGTAAGAGTATTGGCAAAAAAGCGACACGAAATTCGCATTCGCGAAGTCGTGAACAGCCGCAGCATCAACTCGGAGCGTTTAAAATTTCCGCAGAAGCCAAAGGTAGCCAGAGCTGACAGCCCCTTTGGCAGCAGAACTCGATTCCAAAACCCAACACGCTCAGACTGAGATTCAGATTCAGGTCCATACAGAGAGTGAGAGAGAGAGAACGAGAGAGAGAGCTAAATTCATAACGACTATAAATTTCCCATTTTATTTTAGCCGCCGCCGTCACAGTGAAATGGCAGCGAGAGAGTCAAGCTTATGGGCATTTTTTTAGTTTAAGATGAGACAGCATGAAAACAAAATAAGCTATAAAATTAATCGTCGACTTAGCTGCCGATTAAGTTTATACGACCGTCGTAGATAGCATCCATTTTGTGTGTTGTATTCGCTGCTTTGGCAACCCAACATCGAGCCATGAATTTTGATGATGCCCACCATAAACGGACAGTCGAATGAGCATTGGGCGTCTATTGAAATGAATTGGAAATCTCAACCGAATTTGTCACAATTTGTATTTAATGCCACAGAAATTTGTGTTCGTTTGGGCGATGGTATATGTATAGTAAATGAGTGTTAATTTTATAAAAATAATATTATGGAGTTTTTTAATGCATATAGAGTGAGTATCTCATTATCTATCTGTAGTTATGCCAAATTTTAAACTGATTATAATTGGTTTTCATTTGGTAGTTTAGAATCTCCTTTGACTTTTCGGCAATGGCTGAAGATGTTAATTTTTGTCAGTTCAATCTCATTATCTAAAACACAACTATCCATGCATGGGAGTTCTGATAAGCCGTTAATCGGTAAGAAGCAATGACTCACTGACTCCAAGCTGCAATCTGCTGATACTGACAATCTTCTAATACAGCTGGCCTACTCCTTTACGAATCAAAAGTCCTTTGAACTGGCAGCAAATGAATTTGCCTATCATTTATATTCACTTCATAGCTAACTCCAAAATTGTTCCAACAATTGCTTTATTTAATATACATTAATTATTAATATTATTTATTATTATTTATTTATTATTATAACAAAAAATATATATCTAACTCACTAGCTCCTTAACTATAGAGCATCTTGCAGGGTTTACATCAAGCACTCTCGACCTTAACATCTGTTTCATACCAGAACAATTGAATTAGGTAAAAGATACACCCAGCTTTACACCTTTTGGCACTCATTATTCGAGTGGACATTGTTCGCAAAAGGCCGACGTCTTAACCAGCTGAAATGGATCTGATTGAATAGAATGGATACGAGCTCAGGTGAGGGCAGCCTGCGATGCAACACGCATGCGATTAGATCGAAAACCATATGAGGGAAGCACAAATCAGCCATATACATATACATATGTATATACACACGCATATAATAATCTATATAGATCTGGAGTGGGAACCCTTTGTAATTGAATAAAAAGTGAGGTAGCTCAGTTTCGTCTTATGCACACCTTGAACACTGTAAATTGAGCTCTAATCAATGTGCGAGCATCAAAATCCTTTTCAAAGCAGCTCAGGTTTATCAAAAAGGTGCCGATAATAGGCAAAAGGCTTGCACACAGCGACTGCCAGAGAGAGGGGTAGAGGGAGAGGTAAAGAGAGAGAGTAAAGAGTAAGAGAGGATAAAGAACCCACAAGCAGGACCCAAAGCACACACATGTCATCATCCTTCAGTGAATAGACCCAAATTGGTTGGATCTATGCGAAGTGCATTGTGCAAATTAATTGCATTTTCGAATTCGAAATTCGATATTATTCAACGAATACCGCCTACACAATTCCCAATCTGAAATTCTAAACTTGAGCGACGAAAGAGCGAAAGAGACTTGTGGAACGCCCTCGCCTGATAAATGAGGAACAGAATCAAAGGAATTAATTTTATTTAATTAACAGTTAAAGAGAGAGTTATGAGAGTGAAAAATTTGATTATATAAGAAAAATATGTGATATAACTTAAGTAATTAGTAATTAGAAATTATTGAAACAGGTGAACAAGCTAAAGATATTCTGAGCATAGGCTGAAGATAGAAGGCTATATATAGGAAATTATATTACATTAATTTGTTTACTTTCCTTTTTAATTTATTTATAATTACATTTGCGTGACTGCTAATATTATTGACTATAAGCCTTGAAATTCTTTCTTCAAAAATATTTATAAATTATGTAAAAATCTAAGAAACAATTATAACTGGAAAAAAAATTAAAATTTTATAATTACAATATCGCAGCTTAAATGAATAAGTTGTCGAAGTTAATTTGGTATTGAAACTGGAATTAGAAATTAAGAACTCAAAATGTGATTTTAAATTGAGCCAAATGTTGGAAAGTACTTAAAGAAAAAATGTTTTTAAATAAACTTAAGCACATATATGAGTTTAGAAAACAATTTATATTTCAGTTCAGATATCCATTTGTAATAAAATATAAATTAAAATTTCGATTTCAACCAGTTTGGCTTATAATAATATAATAACATGAATAATTATATAATAATTTTAAAAACAGTTCAATTACCAGCAAATCGTTATTAACTAGCTTTAGACTGAATTATTTATCTGAGTTAATTAATAATATTTAATAAACACGCAGCGCGATTATCGCACAAAAAGAAAAAGGGAGAGGAAAACAGCAGTCAGAAAATGCGAGTGACTAACTATGAGCTGGGTTGAGCCCACACGCAACCAGGAGCGGAGGCTGCGGCTGTGGCTGGGGCACATGTCCATATCTACATCTGCCATCCTGCAGCCACTGCACCGCAAAATGTCTGAATGACGTAGACACACACACACACAAAGAAACACGTTAAACAATTTTAGAGATGAAGATAAGTTCATCATCAGCCAAGCGGGCCAGTTGGACGAGCCGTGTCTGGTCTTTGGTCTCGGGTGTTGACGTTTAGTAGGCGGTGCCTTGAGTGCCGTTTAAGCGCTCATAATGCCGCCACAACTTATCGACAGATTTATATCGTCTCTGTGTGTGTGTGTGTGTGTGTGTGTTTGCCGCACAGACAGATTCTGATGGTTGCTGTTGCAGTGCTTTTGAGTTTTGAACATTTTGCCGCAGGATCAGCGATAAATCACTTTGTACATCAGAATCAATAAAAAATTAAGAAAACGTTGAAAATGAGCAAGTGGCTGACTAGCAAATACCCTGTATATAACACTGAACTATAAATAAATAACGTGCTTCTTGAAAAGTTATAAGCAAATCTTCACATCAATATATATCTTTTTTTTAGCAAAAATATGTATCACCTCTCTTAGTTTTAATATAATCTACACTAATATTTGATGTATAGAATATAAATAGCTATATTTTCCTTCTTAGTCTTAGAAATATTAAATTATGTCAAAATATTGGGCATGCTATTCATTCCTTTTTAATTATTATTATTTTAATTATCAATCAGTATTTTTAATATTAAAATAATCCAATAAATTACATAATCTTACAGCTAGCTCGTTGATTCTAAAGAGGAAAACATAATATCTTAATTGTGCAAACGAAAATTCCCAATTGGCAATAGTTACAGGGTATTAAGAGAAACAACCGTCGGAAGGTGTTCAAATTGAAATTTTGATGTCTTCATCATGAGCGGCGTTTGATCTGAGCATTCGTTACACTCATGTAGGTCGACTCTGGCTACTTTTATGAGTGTGTGTATGTTATTTGTACACAGGTAAGCGCAAACATCAAGCTGGACTTGATTTATGTGTTTGCAACTGAAAAGAATTGATGGTCCATTAAATTGACATATACTCAACTTAATTGCATTTAACTATTATTTAACATTTAACTATTATTTATTTGCCTTTTTATACCACTCAACACGTTCTTAATGTATATTTGGTCAACCGCAGCACACAATTTGTATTTAAGTTCGCGCCAAAGTACTTTATAGGTTGTTGGCCAACACTGGTTGTTTGGCCACACTTTTTACTGGCCGCACTACTTTTAATCATTGCTTTTAGTATTATTTATATTTCTGGTATTTTTATAATTTACAACTCTCGGTCACCTTGTTTCAGTTTGTTGTTGTCCTAAGTCTTTCCGGCTTTATATTTGAAAATAAATAGAAATTCCTACTTTCGATCTAGTAATCTAATTAATAAAACGCAAGCACATTTTCGGTTTGCTTGCTCAACTATACTTACAAAATTAATTGTGCGCGTGTAAATGTAAAAGGTGAGTATGCCAAGTCAAAAACAATCACGGCGCAGCGCCACGCCGGCTGCCTGAAACCAGCAACAACAACATTTAAGAAAATAGCATTTACAACAACAAAAACGGGGTATTTGCGCGCGCTTTGAATTCGCATTTGAAAAGACGCGCTATAGCGAACTGTTTGGCTATTTGTGTACTGGTTTCCTTTTACTTTTGTTTTATTTGGCCAGCTCCCAGCGATCTTGATTCCATTGATACGCGTCTAATTAAATTGTCTATAAACGAGATCAGCGAACGCAACAGTCGTGGACATTGCGACGCGTCGGGGCGTCTGTCGATTGATCTTGGTGCTGTGCCATATCGAAAATAGCAGCCATTGACAACGTGAGCAGCAGTAGCAGCATCACACACAATTAGTTAGCTGAAGTAATGGCGTTCATCACATAATGCAAACAAAGATTTGCGAGGTTTTCACTTTTTGGAATTGTATTTATTTTATTCTTCTCAATTGCAGTTATCCAAATTTTCTGTGAAAACTCTATGGCACAGATTACGACTGATAAAAGGTCAACGCAAATGATGCGTCCACATACGACAGCAGCTAGTGTCGCATCTGCCACATCCTCTGCCACAAAGGAGAACACGGCCAGGAATCATGCGGCCCAGGCCCGTGGCAAGGGAATTGAGATATTAGACTTTCATGAGTCCTGGTTAGAGGAGGTGGAACTCTATAAGGACAAGTTAGTGACGTGCAAGCAGCTGTCACATCACAATCACCAATCGTCACATCCATCGTCGCACCAATCATCACATCATAACAACTATAACGCTTTCGCCCCAACCCGTCTGTCTCCCCACATGCGAACTGTAGGTGGTCATACCTCGTCGGTGGCCACTGCGAATCAAGCAGCAGCAGCAGCCGCAGCTGTCACAGTTGCTGCAACAGCAACAACAGCTGTTGCAACCAAATTGCTTAAAGGACAAATGCAGAAAACATCGCAACTGTCGCACAGGCGATCAAAGCTTACGGACGCTTCGTCTGCTTCCGTTGCCAGCTCAGTGCCCGCCAAATCGTTACCGGCCCGCATCCTACCCAAGTTGAACACGGTACCAGCTCCTGTTGTTGGGGTGCTCCAATCAGAGCCGTACAAGAAGGTTCAGGTGCGTAGACTAAATCTTAAGCTAAATGTTAGTTCTTATGATCCATGGAATCAACATTTATATATTTACATATCTATATATCTGTTTTTGTCTTACTAAATCCAAAAGATCTATGTTGTAGGTCTAACAAGCCAAGCTGCAATTTCACTGCTTGATAACATCTTTCCATGCCTTACCATATCCCCCGATCTTATAATTCAAGCATAACTATCATATCTTATGTAACTTTAAATTCTAAATGTATCTTGTACGTAGATCTTAGAATCCAATCAAACTAAATTTTCATAAATACAACATCTTTAACTTTCTTTGTATTTCTAACTAAGTCCGAAGATCTTTTAGTTCATGCTAACCAAACTGCCTAGGAAAATATTATTCTGTATGTAGATCATATCTATGCATCTTAATGAGTCGAACGATCTCGATCGTAGATCTATGTAAACTCCTTCTTTTGGTATTCATCCGTGACATCCTTGTTTAAGATCTAATTGTGAATGCATTCGGCTTGCTGAATATGTTTTTATCCGCTTTATATGTCTTGATGTTTCAACATGATACCCGTCTCCCTCTCCCCCTTATCTGTTGCCCGTTTCCTGTGCGTGTGTTCCCCGCTTTGCTTTTTTGGCTGCCAAATGCTAACACACAGATGCTTTTGAAGCGTGCTCGGGAGGATGCACTTGCGAAGAACGCAACGAACGCCAGTGGCAACAGCAACATCTGCAAGCGGAGCAATAACAATTCAGCTTGTCCCAGTCCGCCCCGGGGAGGATTAGCCCATAGTTCAAGTGCCTCGACAATTAAGGCGGCCAGTAAGATTGTTGTGAACACGTTCCATGGCAGCAGCATGTTAAATGGTCAGCAGCATGACGAAAAAAGCAAAATACTCACCCAAAACGGTCTAACCAAATCGGCCGCCTCGGCTCTGGAGACATCGCTTTATGCATCGCTCTATGCTCAGCCATCACAGATGCCATTCCAATGCTTGAACTCACGTACTACAGCCGGTGAGCATTCTGGCAACTACATGGGCGTCTCCTTGAATAAGTGCGTTAGCATCAACCATGAAGGACGTCAGAACGATGATGATCCCTGTGGTGGTGAGTGAATATAACAATCTATATATCTATATATTAGTAGTATACTAAGATCGATTTAATATTTCATGCACAGCAATTGATGAAATTACCAGTTATGATGATTCGGATTCGGATGAGGACTATGTGGGCACACCGTTCTACCTGGAGGACGATAACGATGAAACTAGCCAGAGTCGTCATATTCGCTTAAAATTGGAAAAGGGGCCATCTAAGACATCGGTGGCAACAACAAATACCACAGATTCAGAAGTATCGGTATATTTTAAACCAGATGCAATATTATCACCCAGTCTATTTCCAAATGTGCCGCCCTATTTAAATTTTACATCGCATGCTGACAAGGGTCCACCAATGCCGGCTGCACTCCATCGTGTGCTTAAATGGAAGCTCAGTCCTGTTATGCCAAAGATTGTAAAGCGCGTGGTACTCAATTCTGGATTCCGCATTATCAAAAGTAAGTAGATCGTTGACTGACTGGATGATTGACGATGAGATTGGTGACTAGAGCACAGACCAAACTATTTAAACAAAATAAATATGATACCTTTTTAAACAGACACCACAGACTGGATGGCCGTGTGGGAGAAGCATATGAAAAGCCCGGGTTTTCGTACAATACGTTCGCATCAGAAATATAACCATATGCCCGGCTCATTTCGTATTGGTCGTAAGGATACAATGTGGCGCAGCATTGCAAACAATATGAAGAAATTCGGTAAAAAGGAATTTGGAATTATGCAGAAGTAAGTAAATATATGGAAGCCTTCCACTTAAGCTAATCCCATACACTATACACTTTGGCAGATCGTATATAATGCCTGATGATCTAGAACATCTGCGACAAGTATGGCCAAAGAATGCTTCTAAGCTCACCAAATGGATAGTGAAGCCGCCAGCGAGTGCACGCGGCACTGGCATACGGATTGTGAACAAATGGAGCCAATTTCCCAAAGATCGTCCCTTGGTAGTGCAAAAGTATATTGAACGACCGCTGCTGATCAATGACAATAAGTTTGACATGCGACTCTATGTGGTATTGACCTCCATTAACCCGCTACGCATCTATATGTTCAAGGATGGATTAGCCAGATTTGCTTCGGTCAAATATAGTTCGGAGTTAGGCAATCTTGACGAGCGTTGCATGCATCTGACGAACTACAGTATAAATAAGTTTTCCCAAAATTATACTAAGAACGAGGATTTCAATGCATGCCAAGGACACAAATGGACGCTGCAGTCTTTGTGGTCCTGCCTCGAAAACCGTGGCGTTAACACAAAGCGCTTATGGGCAACATTACGTAATCTGGTAATCCGCGGCATAGTTAGCGGAGAATCAGGCTTGAATCGTATGTATCGGCAGAATGTTAATTTCCGTTACAATTGCTATGAACTATTCGGATTTGATGTGCTGCTCGATGAGAATTTAGTGCCTTGGCTGCTCGAAATCAACATTTCGCCATCCCTACACTCTGAGCTGCCGCTCGATTTGCATGTGAAAGGCCCGTTAATACAAGCCGTATTAAATACGGCACTGTATCAGGTCCCGCCCAAACTGAATGAACGCCAGCAGCAAGAGATACTGGAGGAGCTGCAGATGCAAGGACCGCTAGTACATGATAAACGTATCTTTACCACCTGTCTAACAGCCGAAGAGGTGCGGAAGCATAATCATTTTACCAGTCGCGCCATTGAGTTTCGTGAAGAATATGTGGATACTATATTAGACAATTTGCTGCCAGATGATGTACGCTGCCTTATTGTTGCCGAGGATGAACTAGCACGCTGTAAGCCGCTGGAACGCGTCTTTCCAACTGTGGGCACACATGTATTTCTACCTTACTTTGAAAATGCGCGCTACTATAACCGGTTACTAGATGCTTGGGAGACCAAGTACGCCAAGAATCGTGAACAGGGTATTGCATTGTTGTCGCGCTTCTGCAAGGATAAATATCATTTGCAGGTCTCCGAAGCAGCCATGGAGAAGGTACATTTTACCCTGGCTATAATCCTATGAATTACCGTAATTAATATTTATTTTGTATTGTTATTTTCTTCAGGAACCAAATGTAGCTCTTACTGAGATAGATATGCTGCACGTGAAAAAGGATGAAATTCTAGACAATCCAACAAATTTACCCCTCATTAAGGCAGCTGAAAGCAGCGACGCAGCTTTGCAAGCAGCCATTGGGTACAAACCGGCAGCACATCACTGACAACTTAAGACTGAACATAAATTCAATAAGCTACTGCTTCATCAACCCTATTGTCTGTTTGTTGATTCGTAATGGTGCACATGATAACAGTAACCATACTAACTCCAGTCTTTTTTAAATTCACGTTGAATTCTATAAAATAAAAATTATATCCAAACTGGTTAATATATTTTCTACACAACGCAAAAAAAACCGTCTTTTTTCTTTCAATTTTAAATTTAACAGCAACTTAACGAATTGCTATCGTAATCGATCTTTGTTGATACGCAGATTTTAGAATTGGTATTTTTGTGACATTATATAGTTATACGAATTAACGGGGTTTCGCTATATTTTTCAACTAAAGAGGAACTTCGAGAAATGCAAAATGCGATTTTTTATATTTTTATATTTGCAGACGCTGGTCTGAGAATTTATCGATATATCGTCTGATATCGCAATAAACGCACACGACGTACCCGTTGATGCATAGCCATTCGAATAAGATGCGACAACCCTAAATTATCGGCAAGGCAAACAATGAATGCACGACGTACGACGACGGCTCGTTCTAGAACGAAAACGTAAAATTGTTATTAAAAATTGAGCAAGCGTTTAGTTACGCGAAATCACCCGGTCACCAATACAAATGCAAGTGCAGGTGAACGACAAGCAACAGCAACAAATTGCGCGTGAGTTTTAGATAGCTTCCTGAGTAGCGTCACGTAGACGGCAAGCGACTTGCAAATCGATATTCACACTAAACTCACATACACAACACACACACGCACACATACACACACATCAACACGAACACCCACCAGTACAAACAGTATGGAAAACACATTAGAAGGCGGCGGCGCTGATGGCGAAAATAACATTTTGCCGCTATCCGCCATGTGCCAGGACACCGCCCGCACCATAACAAACGTGGCAGTAGTAGCCGACACAGCGGTAAGTGTACAATGTTGACGGAAACATCGTTGACTACGACATTATGCATCGCAATCTGCCGCCCGAAATTTTGCGCCTAATACTTTTCTTATCCATTCCACATTTACACACGCACACTCATACAAACATGTGCTTATGTATGTATATATACACACACACACAGACATTGATAAGCAGCGACACAGCAGTTGCTGCGGCGTCATCGACAATAGCAAACAACGACAACAAAAAGTCGCAATTGGAGAACGAAGAAGGGGCCACAATGTTGAACGCAGAGCACCACCACATGAACAACAACAATAACAACAACGACAGCAGTGCTAAAACTAAACAACAAAAAGAGCAGCTGTCAGGCGATGGCAATGCAAATACCACAACAACAACAGCAACAACTACAACAGAAACAGCAGCAGTAGCAATAACAAATAAAACAACAACGAACTGTGTCAAAGTGATGGCAGCAGCGACGCCGGCAGCGACAGCCGCCGAATCGGACAGCAACAAAACGGGTAGGCAGAGCTGCCAAGAGCTTTTCTTTCGCCTCCCTGCTCATACTAATGCATTTTTTTCCGCCTTTTAGCTGAGCGCAATCACAAGAAGAAGAAAAAAGATAAGGAACGGGAACGAGATGAAGATAAGCGACACACTAGCAGTGGCAGCGGGAGCGCCAGCGGCAGCACCGTCAAGGATCGCGAAAGCCAAAGCCTGAAAAGCAGCAGTGGAAGCAGCAGCAGCAAATCCTATTCAAATCGACATAGCAGTGACTACAAATCAAGTTCCAGTTCCTCCTCCTCCACCACCTCGCGCAGCAAAGACAAGAAGCAACACAGAAGCGATCGGGACAGAGAGCGGGATCGCGAAAAGGAGAAGGTAAAGAGAATAAATAAATATAACTTAATGAAATTGATTAGGGAAATTTGAGTTACACTATAAGAAACCCACCATTGTTGATTAAAAATATAAAACAGTCATTGTCAAGCCTTATGCTGCATAGAACGTGCTAAAACTAGTTACTTAAAACGGTTTAATTTTGCGTTTATACAGAAAATAATAGCAACATTTCTTATTAACAACAGGTACCATCATCATCGTCGAGTTGCTCATCGAATTCACATTCGGATCGTCGCCGCAGCTCAGACAGTAGCCGCAGCAGCAGCAACAACAGTTCTAGCAAGTTTGTTGTCATTAAAGAGGAGAAGGAGCGAGAAACGGAACAGGAGAAGAAATCAGTTGTGGTCCCTAGTACAATCGAGCCACAAATCAAAATAGAAGAGCCACAGAAAGAGTCTGGCGCTTTAACGGTACTTAACCATAGTAAAGTTATCAAAACGGAAAACGAAATCAAAAAGGAATCAGTGGAAACGAAGCCATTGCTAAATGGCGATGTGATCAAACAGTTGAAGACACGCGAAGAGGTCACGCGACAGTTGAGCTTTAGCGCCGATGGAGGAAAGCCCAAGGAGAATAATTGCAACAGCACCAATAGCAATCCATCATCTGTTTTAATGCCATCGCCGGCCCCTAAAACTACCAACAATAACAGCAGCAACAGTGGCAGCAGCAGCGCCAATCACCATTCCTCCTCCAACTGTAGCGCGCGTAAATCTTCTTCCTCCTCCTCCAGTAATTCATCAAGTAGTCATCACAAGACTTCATCATCCTCTTCATCGTCCTCCTCATCACGGCATTCATCATCCTTCTCGTCGCGCGACTGCTCCAAATGTTATAAACGCTCCAAGATTCGTCGCAGCAGCGTTGGTGTTCAATGCATGCAGCACACGCCCGTAGCTGGACCCTGGCAAACGAATTGTTTGCCGATACCGACGGCCAATCGCAAAGCTCCCGTCGGCCTGGAAAATCTCAAATACGGTCATTACTTTCAAGTGGAACAGTATCCGAATGGCGGTGCATCAGTGGTGCATCTTTATCAGCACGAAATCGATGCACTGTCACCGGATGAAATGGAACAGCTTGTGGATGAATTCTTTAGCGTATGCTTTGCCGAGGATGAGCAGGGCTATGCGCACCATGTGATGGGCATTGTACATGATGCCGCTCGCTATATACCCGATCTATTGGAGCATATGGCCGAGAATTATTCAACGTTAACGGTGAAGGCAGGCGTACTTGGCCGCAACTCGGACATTGAGACGTGCACCATGGCACAGTACAATGAACAGGTAAGTGCTACACAGAATGCATCCATTAATAAGTATCTAAACTAATTATATATTTGATTGCAGGTGGTGCGTAATTATTGCCAGGGTACGTTTCGCTATGGACCACTGCATCAGATCTCATTAGTGGGCAAGGTGCACGAGGAAGTGGGCGGATATTTTCCGGATCTGCTGGGACGCATCGAACAAAACCCCTTTCTGTGCAAGGCAAATACTATAAATGGTTAACTAATGTAAATTCAATTAATTAATGAATTATATCTTTTAGACAATGCCCTGGGGTGTTAATTCCATACTGCAAACGGATCCGCGTCAATCAAACGATGGACCCATTCTATGGATTCGTGCCGGCGAGCAACTAGTGCCCACCGCGGAGCTGAATAGTAAGACGCCCCTCAAGCGACAGCGGTAAGCGTTTGTATTTATTTAGATATATTAAATTATTTATTTATTTATATAACCAATTAACTCTAATAAAGCCTGAAGCAAATATTTCCTATTTTGTTACTATTTTTGTCCTTATTTGTAATACAATGAAAATAAATGTAAAATAAATGTTACTATATTTAATAAACAAGTGTTAATTCTTAGTTTTAATTTGTTTTGTATTAATTTATAATATTATAATGTATGTTTAAGATTATATGTTCTCTAATTTTAGTTAAAATTTATTATAGAGACTAATTCCAAATTAACTAAATTTGAAAATTCAAATTCTCTTAATATTGTTAACTCATATCCCAATTTCATCTTGTAGCACGCGAATTAATGAACTGCGCAATTTGCAGTATCTGCCGCGTTTATCAGAGGCGCGCGAAACCATGATTGAGGATCGGACTAAGGCGCACGCGGATCATGTTGGCCATGGACACGAACGCATCACTACTGCCGCAGTTGGTGAGCTCTATATAATCCTCTTTCCGCTTTCAAACCGTTATCTTTTTCTACATATCTTTCGCACTCTAATTTTCTCATTGTCTATTCATAACTGACTTACTTCAACAGTTATAATTCAATATTAATTCTCCAACCTTTTTCAGGTATCCTCAAGGCGGTGCACTGTGGACAATCTTATAATCAGAATCGCATCACTAAAGATGTGGTTGCCTTTGCTGCTCAGGACTTTAATACGTTGGTGGAGATGCTGCAATTGGATCTCCACGAACCACCCATATCGCAGTGTGTACAGTGGATAGAGGATGCAAAATTGAATCAGCTGCGTCGTGATGGCATTCGCTATGCCCGCATCCAGCTGTGTGACAATGATATCTACTTTCTGCCACGCAACATTATACACCAGTTCCGCACCGTAACGGCTGTGACAAGCATAGGTAGATAGTCCCTAATTAACTAACTTGACATTTGATTAATTTTTACTTACATCGTAGCTTGGCATCTGCGTTTGCGTCAGTATTATCCCGGCCAGGAGGTAATTAATGAGCAGAACAATCCCGTGCTGGCCGAGACGCCGCATTATAAAGAGAAACAAACCATATTGCCCAATCCCATTGGCCACGACGAGTCTGGCAAGAAGACCCCTTCGAAGCGTGCGCACGATGGCAAGGCCAAGCGTAAGGTGATTGACTTAGATGGCAAGGAGCGGCGTTCCAGCGAGAGCAGCCAGGATGATCATGCCTCTTCGGCAAGTGCCTCGCCCACCCAGCAGACCACCAACAACAATAACAGCAGCAGTAGCAACAGCACGCCCAAAAAGAAAGTGAACAAAGATGACTCCAAGATAGATATGCGCAAAATGGTGCTGGAGCACACATACAAGCTGACCAAAGCGGCGGCCACGGCGATCGAAAAGGATCGCAAGCCATGCAGCAAGGATCGGGACAAGGCCAATCGTGATAAAGACAAAGACAAAGATAAGGATAAAGATAAGGATAAGGATAAGGATAAGGATAAGGACAAGGCACGTAGCAAAAAGGTGGAGCATAAGACAGAAGCGGTATCGCCTTCAGCTACGCCAGCTAAACTGCCGCGACTAGAAAACGAGGCCGCTGTATCAATTGTGACAAGTGGTGCATCCGTTGCCGCTCCAACTCCAGCTCCTGCTCCAACTACTCCAACAACGACGCCTGCCTTGTTGCCGGCATTGCCGCCGCTGCCTCTTGTGCCTCAGACCCCTTTCTTGCACCGTGAAGCTTATGTAAATAGTTTGAATCAAAAGGAGCCTGAAATCAAAATACAGCTTAAAATGGTATCCGATGAGCCCACCACAACGACAGCGCCGAGCGTCAGCAAACCTGAAATCATAAATTGCGTGTCTCCAGCCTCGCCGGCGCCCAATCCCGTCGAAGATGTTGGCAGTGAGCTAATTGTGGAAAGCACTCCACAACTGGTGGTGGATCACGAGGAGGAGGTGACTGAAATTTGTGAGGAAATAATTCCATTGGACATGCCAGTAGGGCCAGCTCCAATAGTCACACCTGCACCCACACCCACGGCCGCGCCTATGCCGCCCACATTGCCAGTTATGCGTCTTACGCAGCCGCCAGTGCCCACGTCCTCAATCGGAACAGCGCCGCAGCAAGTTGTTAAAGTGGTTTTGCCTGCAGCATCGCTGACACCGCTAGTGGGTCGCCTGTCTGCGGTGGTGCTAACGCCGCCGTTGCCTCCCATGCCGTTGCCACCACCTCCACCGCCGCCGCCACCACCAGCCAGAGGCCAAATCAATCCGAAGGCAACAACTGCAAGCAGCAACAACAGCAACAGCACAACCCCCACCACCTACAAAACGTTCACCTTGCCCTCGCACAAGATCATTTTAGCCGGCAGCAGAGCTTCATCGAAAACTAAAAGCGTTTCGCCAGTCGATCTGCTTGGCTCCATAATGGCCAGCATGGACAATAAGCCCAGTATCACGAACACCACAAGCGTAAGCAGCGGTTCTACAACAACAGTAGCAGCTACGGCATCCGCTACAGGCGCCTCAGTTGCCGCCAGTAGTACGGCAAACACGGCGAAGCCTTCACTATCTTCCTATGCCAACTCCAATAACAGCTACTGAGAGTGCGTTGCCCGTTGCCCAGAGGCTTCTCCAAGCGATGCGTTCCACTGCATCGCCAACCTAATTATTGCAGCTATATAACGAAGAGAAAATTGTTGGAAATTGTTTTTTTTTAATTGTTTCGATTAGGCCACTTTTTTGGCGTCTAACGCAAGCGCAAGCTTTAGAAGTTGGCCCGAATATCGTTTTTTGTATATAGCTAACTTGGGGCTAAGGTTCGTATAAACCGAACAACTTGCCCTCATATATTATCATATTATATTTGGTAATTGTAGTTAATTAAGCTCAAAAATGCTAAAAATACTTTTTAGACACGTAGATTTTTAATTTATTATCGCAGGCACTTTAAGATACACACACATTGGCAACAGTTAGAGAAACTTTGATATATACTTGAATAAGCAAATATATATAATTATATATATATATAGATCTATATATATAGATCTGTATATTAGCATAGTGTGCGCGCACATTGAACGTGTATTTTTTTACAAGTCAAACTAAAGTGCAAAAAGCGCCAAGTTGTTTTAATTTTTGTGTTTTTCCTAACGACATTTTTGAAACGTGTTTTGCAAGCACACTCACACACAGAAAACATACATATATATCTATATGTATGTTGATAATTATGATATATATACAATTATATATATACCACACATATAAATGTAGTTTTAAAAACAATGCACGTTGAAGAAACAATAAAGATTCGGATCGTACAAAAATTCAAAACAAAGTGTTTTAATAGATAAACAATTTAAATGAAAATTTAGACAATCTATCGACGCAATAACAGTTCTATAAGGGATATGTTCTTTAGTAAACATTCTTAACATGACTGTATATCTATATCATAGGGCTTCTTATCCCTTTCATTCCACATATTACATATTTTAAAACGAAGAGTATAAAAAAACAATGACATTTAAAAATAATTTCATAATTGCTACAAATAATGTCACTATAAAAAAATAGATATGTAAATAATCCAATTTTAAAAATCCCACTTAAAATTAATTGCAAATATCAATGGAATGCTGTTGTCTTAAAGCTTGGAGCGCAGCTCCTCGATACGACCCTGTGCTGAGCGCTGCAAGTCCAACAGTTTCATGGCAAAGCCCATGTTGCCCTGTATCTTGATCTTGCCCTGGAAGAAGGCCTTTTGGGGCGGCAGCTTGCCTATCAGCAGCTCGAACACATCATCATCGCTGATTATAAAGGTAACATCACATTTTTCTGCAATGCAAATAATTAAATCAATTGGCTATTCCGATTTCTCAGAATATATTCACTTACGCGTGCCATTGAAGATGACCTTGCCTTTGCCTTGCTTGGCATCGATCACCCAGAAGCCTGTCTGACCTTGGGGTCCATTGTTCACCCTAAAGCCATATACAGCGCGCACCTTTTCGATTAGATTGTCCTGATCCTCTTGCATGGCCTGCTCGAGCAACTTGAGTAGTGGTGACACTTTGAAGCCCTCCTCGCTAGTCGCAATCTTTGCTGCTGCGGTCTTGTTGTGCTTCACACCACCAGCACCCGGGAAACCTAAGCGATAAAGACCCACCACAACGGCACCACCTAGACCAAGATTGTGCTGAAGAGCCAACTGGACATTAGGCACTTGTCGCCTCTCAGCCAAGCCACGCAGTTGCCAGCAGAGCTCGGCGCACTGCGCCAAGCCTGTGGCACCCAATGGATGTCCCTTGGAGATGAGTCCTCCACTGGGATTGACTACAAATTTGCCGCCATACGTGTTGTCTCCATTATCGATGAACTCGCCAGCCTTGCCCTCGCCGCAGAGACCCAAGGCCTCGTAGGTGATCAGCTCGTTGGCCGAGAAGCAATCATGCAGCTCCACGACCTGCACATCCTGTGGCTTAAAGCCGCTTTTAGCGAACAGGCGTTGAGTAGCAAGGCGAGTCATGTCATAGCCGGCAATCTTCATGAGGCTCTTGTCAGCAAAGGTCGACTCTGGATCACTAGCCATTTCCATGCCCACAATCTCCACGGCTTGCTTTTCTAGACCATGACGACGCACGAACTGTTCGGAAGCTAGAATAGCAGCACCCGAGCCATCCGAAGTGGGGCAACACTGCAGCTTGGTCAGCACACCCTCCACCACTTGCGGCGACTTCATAATCTGCTCCAGGCTGTATTCATCGCGGAACTGCGAGTATCTAATCATAAAACAGATTAGATTAATGTTTGCAACACATCAGTGTTAACACACCCATAATACTCAAACAAGTGCACTTACGGATTGTTAACCGAATGCTTATGATTCTTCCAGGCAATCTTGCCAAAGTGTTCCGGCTTGGTGCCGTATTTCTTCATGTGCTCCTTGCCAGCATTACCAAAGATCTGTGCTGCCATTGGGCCAGCTCCAATTTCTGTCAGCTCTCCCATTTCGGTAATGTGACGCTCCATGGGATTGGCCCGATCAAAGTACTAACAATAAAGATCATTTTATGGATCATATTATAAAGGGTTAAAGGTTGAATCTAGATACCTTTGCTGCTAACGAGCCACGCTCCATTTTCTCAAAGCCCAGTGCCAGGACACAGTCTGCGTTGCCCGACTCGATGATCTGCTTGCCCAGATACAGGGCACTCGAGCCAGTGGAGCAATTGTTGTTCACATTGTAGACGGGAATGCCAGTCATGCCAACTTCATAGACCGCCCTCTGTCCGCAGGTGGAGTCGCCATAGACATAGCCCACAACAGCTTGTTGCACATCCGTGTACTGTAGCTTGGCATCCTGGAGAGCTTTGGTGACCGCCTCCTTGGCAAAGTCGGGGTAGCAAACATCAGCGCGGCGCCCAGGTTTTTCAAACTGTTGAAATAGTTAATTGTTGTTATTTATAGATGAACAACCTTTAATCGGATTGTTTTAGATAATGGTAACTAAACATGGAAATTAGATTGCGCAGCAACAAGATTTCGATTTCTCCAGTGACCGAAGTGCACTGTAGTTCAAAGTCCGAGAGCGATAATTACTATTGGGTGAGAGGAGCATGTACTAACTTGTTATGGCAGCTTCTTGGAGATCGTGTTTTTCTTTGTTGCATCTTTACACACATACATCATTATATTTACCTTGGTCATGCCAACACCAACAACATATACTCGGGTTTTGGTCATTATGCGAGTTTAAGTATTATTTTGTAGATGGACTAAAACAAGTACAACCGCTACGACTCGGCTTTAAGTAATTACTAAATATTGAAGACCACAAAACAAGTATCTGAGGCGAGCTAAAAAACTATCGATTACAATATCGATATATTATTATGAAGCACGAAAATTCGGTTCATTTATAAAATGTCTTCAATGTTTATCCTAACATGCATTGTGAAAAAATAAGTAAAATATTTAAAGTTGAAGAGAATATAACTTTATAAGTAACATATTAAATCCACAAAATGTTTACGTTATCTATGAAAATTGTTGCAAGCTTTTGAATCAGCTAAAATTAAAACTTGCAAAATTATTTTTGTTGGTGTGACCAGCTATGCTTTAGCCACAAATATCCAACTAAAATCATTCCACACTGATTGAATTGAATTTGTTCAAAATTAAAGAACAATTCAATTGAACTGACTCCATTGACACAGAAGTCAATTCGCGCCCAACGGAAAATATGTTTAACAGTTACTTTTTGCACGCCAACCACAACAGAACTATATCAAAATGACAAAGACTAGAGTTTACGTTATCGGTGTTGGTATGACCAAGGTTCGTATCTGAGAAGTGACCTTTGCATCCACCTATAACCAAGTTCCCACCCTTAGTTCGAGAAACCCGGTCGCCGCGCTGATGTTTGCTACCCAGACTTTGCCAAGGAGGCAGTGACCAAAGCTCTCCAAGATGCCAATATTAAGTACGAGGAGGTGCAACAGGCTGTTGTAGGCTATGTCTATGGCGACTCCACCTGCGGTCAAAGGGCGGTCTATGAAGTTGGCATGACTGGCATTCCCGTCTACAATGTGAACAACAACTGCTCCACTGGCTCGAGTGCCCTGTATCTGGGCAAACAGATCATCGAGTCGGGCAACGCAGACTGTGTCCTGGCACTGGGCTTTGAGAAAATGGAGCGTGGCTCTTTAGCAGCAAAGGTATCTAGATTCAACCTTTAACCCTTTATAATATGATCCATAATATTATCTTTATTGTTAGTACTTTGATCGGGTCAATCCCATGGAGCGTCACATTACCGAAATGGGAGAGCTGACAGAAATTGGAGCTGGCCCAATGGCTGCACAGATCTTTGGTAATGCTGGCAAGGAGCACATGAAGAAGTACGGCACTAAGCCGGAACACTTTGGCAAGATTGCCTGGAAGAATCATAAGCATTCGGTTAATAATCCGTAAGTTCTATATGAATTGATTATCACTCAGTCGAAAGTTCGATGCCATAATAGACGTAGGTGCTTATCTTATCTCCTATCGCTTATCGTGGGGCCATCCTCACTGAACATTGGCCATACATTAGTCGTCTGCTGCAGTCTGTCTTATCTTAATCTGTGGCCTATTTCCTATTGGTTTTGTAGCTACTCCCAGTTCCGCGATGAATACAGTCTGGAACAGATTATGAAGTCGCCACAAGTGGTGGAGGGTGTGCTGACCAAGCTGCAGTGCTGCCCTACCTCGGATGGCTCGGGTGCTGCCATTCTGGCCTCCGAACAATTCGTGCGTCGTCATGGTCTGGAAAAGCAAGCCGTGGAGATTGTGGGCATGGAAATGGCTAGTGATCCAGAGTCGACCTTTGCTGACAAGAGCCTCATGAAGATTGCCGGTTATGACATGACTCGGCTTGCCTCTCAACGCCTGTTTGGCAAGAGCGGCTTCAAGCCTCAGGATGTGCAAGTTGTGGAGCTGCATGATTGCTTCTCGGCCAACGAGCTGATCACCTACGAGGCCTTGGGTCTTTGTGGTGAGGGCAAGGCTGGCGAGTTCATCGATAATGGAGATAACACGTATGGCGGCAAATTTGTGATCAATCCCAGTGGAGGACTCATCTCCAAGGGACATCCATTGGGTGCCACAGGCTTGGCGCAGTGCGCCGAGCTCTGCTGGCAGCTACGTGGTTTGGCCGAGAAGCGTCAAGTGGAAGGCGTTAAACTAGCTCTTCAGCACAATCTGGGTCTAGGCGGTGCCGTTGTGGTAACTCTCTATCGTCTGGGCTTCCCTGGCGCTTCTAAAGCAAAGTTGTAAATGGTTTGTTGTTACTTTTGTAAATATATAACGCATACGTATTTTTTATTATCAAACTTATCTTGTCATGTAGTTATATGAAGTATTGCAGCCCATGTACGCTTGTGTTGTTCTGATTCAAATTTGTATTCACATGTAAATTAATTATATTTTCCAAATTGAAAAAAAAAAAAAATGAAAACGCAAAGCTCAAATACCTAAAGTTCGATAAATAAATACCAAACGAATAATCGAATGTGCAAACCAAATCACTGAATTGCTTGATATCAAAATGAACTGCAAATAATCGATTATTAATTATGAAATTGTTCAATTGAACTGAATTAATATTTGAATTCGGTAGTGGTGTATAAATGATAGCAAATATATGCTAAGAATTAAACGATTGAGCTGTTATTAAATTGAACAGCCTAGCTTCGTTTGGCTTTCGATAGCTGCCGCTTCTGCCCGCAACCCAACCGCCAGATTCGAAGCAAGCTGACCAGCACCAGCAGTAGTACTGCCCCAAGTGCAATATAAACATCCAAGGAGTAATACACGAAACGGTTGAGCTTTACTGCGCTAGATCGCAGCAGTGGGGCACCGCGTGTCTCTGCCACATGTTGCACCCACCATAAAGCGCTATCCATCGCTAATTGTGGACGATCGTTGTAAGCAGCGGAAACCTTTGCTGCCTGCAACTTGTAGCCAGGATCCAGCACCTGGGTGAGGGCGTCAAATACAGTTTGTTCGCTGAGCTGCCCAAGGTCCAGACGCACAGCCATGCCACGTTGCACCAGACCCGCTACATTGAAAAATTGATCACCATAGACTGGCATGCCTACTACAGGCACGCCGCTGGAGACGGCCTCAGTGAGGCCCATCAGGCCGCCATGACTGAAGAATACTCTCACATTTGGATGCGCTAGTATATCGCGTTGTGGCAGCCACTTCATGATGTGTACGTTGGCTGGTTGATTGGGTAGCGTGTCGTTCTCCCACTTCCAGATAATTTGCTGCGGCAGACGAGCCAAAGCACGCAGCAGGCTGTCACGCTTGGCGTTGGACAGGGAGTTGGCTCTCAGCTGGGAGCCCCAGCTGATGAGTATGACACCATGCTCAGCCCTGTCCAACAGCTGCTGCAGAGCATCATCCAAGGGCTTCGCTGCTCTTAGATGCAGTCCTCCCACTTCGAGCACATTCGGTGGCAATGGCTTGGCTCCGCTCAACGAAAAATGCTGATTAATGAGCATCAGAGAGGTATTCTTCACCAGCTCGCCTGTGCTCGGGATGCCTGATCCAAATTTTTGACGCAGCAGCGCATCCGCAGCGGGCACATTAAACCAGCTGCAAGCCAAAAGTAAATTTCAATCTGTAAGCTGATCCAACTGCTGCTCACCTATAAAGCCAATTGAGCGTGTGCGAGGTTATCCAGTTGCCAAGACGACCTCCAAAGGACATTTGCTCGGACTGACCCAGAAACAGAGCCGAGATATAGGATGGTATTATCGGAGTGCCCATGCGATCGTAATGCCACGGCATCAGGGAACTGCTGCTCATGGCAACGACGGGCGCCTGCAGCTGATGTGCCACACCCATCATGCAATCCGTATTGAACTGCTCCACGATTATGACGTCATAATAACCAGCAGGATGTTGGAGTACCTGCGCGAGTGCCTCGCTATGAAGCGTCGCATTGCAGGCGTCCCTGCCATAAGCGTACAGAATGAAGAACTCGGCGAAGGGCAGCAGAGATGGCATAGGAATATCTTCAAACATCTGCGAAAACAATTGATTGATTGATTGACTGACTGATATATTGATTGATTAACAGACAAACTGATTGATTAACTAATTCAGTGGCTGATTGATGTCTGATAGATAGATAGACCGCTTGATTGACTGGAAGACTGAGCGATGGTGACTGATTAATTGAGGTACTGCTAAGCTGCCTGCCTGATTGACGGACTGATTGACTTAAAAGCAAATTGTTTTATATATGTATAAAAAGCAGACCAAGACACAGACTGACTGACACCTGGCGATGGACTGATTGATAGACTGATAAACTAACGAACTAATGTTATCACATATAGGTCAATCATTTAATCAACATTCATTATATCTGCATATATTCAATAACTCACATCGAACCCGAGTTGATTGCTCAAATTGACGCTGGGCAGGGTATAGTCCGTGTAACCCTTCGGAGGCTGCGCATCATGAAATGGACTCACTACATCCACGTTGTGACCTGTTTCGGCCAATCGCCGCAGAAGCGGTTGAAAGAACTGAAAATGGCTGATTGCGGGATGGATGAAGAGGCCCAAGATGTTTAGGCCGTGCACTGGACTGCTTCCAGAAATCAGTGAAAACAGCAGCAAGCACTTCCAAATAGAATCTTTATGCATTTTGTAAGGAACTTAACACTATTTTCTGCATAAGTCAAAAATTATATGAACTGATATATATTATATTTATAATATATATAAATACAATATATAATTTGCACGCAGAGACGTTCGCTAGGGTCGAGAGTAATTTAACAACTGATGGCGAATTGTGAAAATTATTTTGAGCACATATAAAAATAAAATTTAAGAGGCGAGCGATCAACCAGATGGCAGATAAGCGAAGGCTAGTAAAGAAGTGATCCATAGCTATAAAATATGGCACAATCTATTTATATGAGAGAACTATCTATATAAGAGAACTTTTTTGTTAAGAGATAGTCTAGTTTGACAGATCTTTTACCTTTTTTTACTCTTAGTCAAATTTAAAATTTAAAATTACATTTTATTCCAAAATGTCCCAAACATAGAATGGTTTATAATTTAGCTTTAAGTTGACTTAATTAACATTTCGTATCTTTTCCATATTCGTTAAGATACATCGACTACAAAATTTCCAAACAAGACGCTTAATAGTTGGAAGCAGGAATTACTAAACTAGGTGTAATAGGACCACAACAGACATTCACATACAAAATATCACATAGACTTAGCCAAGGATCAATCGATTTAATCCCTTTTGTTCTTTCTGTTGGGTTGCTGGCCGCAGCAGCGGCGTATGAGTGCAATCCAACTGCCAACTACAATGGCCAGAATAAGGCCTAAGACAATATAACAGTCCAGCGAGTAGTAGACAAAGCGGGACAACTCCACAGCGCTGGATTTCAACAGAGGATTACCCCCAGTGTGAGCCACATGCTCCACCCACCAGATGGCCTGCTGCAGTGCCTGTTGCGGTCTATATCTGAACGAGTGGGAAACCAGCTTGGCAGCATCCACGTGTCTGTAAGCAATGAAATAATATATAAATAATAGTAAGACAATAGGAGCTTCTACTCACTTCTTATCCAGGGCCCGCTTCAAAGCTCGCATAACCGTATTTTCGCCAATATCCTCGTAGTGCAGCAGCACGCCCATGTCGCGCTGCACCAGGGCAGCCGCATTCAGGAACTGATCTCCGTACATGGGCGTTGCCACAACGGGCACACCACAGTAGGCCGCCTCGGAGCTGCCCATGAGGCCGGCATGCGTCATGAAGACCTTCACATTGGGATGACAGAGTATGTCCCGCTGTGGCAGCCAATTCATGATGTGCAGATTGGGCGGCTTGTTGTCGAGCGTCTCGTTCTCCCACTTCCAGATGACCTGCTGCTTGAGACGGGTCACGGCGCGCACAATGCCATCTCGCTTCTCCGGCGACAACGAATTGGCGCGTATCATGGAGCCCCAACTGATGAGTATCACCCCATGCTCAGCATTGTCCAGCAGACGCTGCAGATCGGCGTTCAACGGATTTGCCTTTTGGATGTGCACGCCGCCCAGCTCGATGATGTTGGGCGGCAGCGGCTTCGGCCCGCTCAGCGAATAGTGTGTGTTCACAAACATAACCGAGGTGTTCTTCACCAGCTCACCCACCGAGGGTGTCGTGTGTCCAAACTTGTACTGCACCAACGCATCAGCTGCGGGGACGGATATGAGCCTAAATGTGTAAAGAAACGAAATGAATGAGATTCACTGCAAACAGTTGCCTATTGGGCCACCTACTTGTACATCCAGTTGAGCGCATGAAAGCTAAACCAGTTGGCCAAACGCGCGCCAAAGTTCATATCCTGCGATTGACCCAGGAATAAGACCGGTATATGCGATGGGATTATCGGAGCGCCCATGCGCTCGAAATGCCACGGCATCAGCGAGCAGGAGCTTAGGGCGACAACTGGTGCCTGCAGTTGGTGTGCCACGCCCATCATGCAATCCGTATTGAATTGTTCCAGAATAATAACGTCATAGTAGCCAGCCCTGCGCTTAAGTACCGACTGCAAAGCCTCCGAACGTAAGGTTAAGTTGCAAGCCTCCTTGCCCCATTCGTGGAGCATAAAGAACTCAATGAAATGGTTGTAGAAAGGGCGCTTATCGAAGAACTGAAAGAGATGAAGTGAGAAATAGTATGAGAGAGAGGGAGTGAAAGAGAAAGAGAAAGAGAGGGAGAGAGAGCGAGAGAGGTAGAAAGAGAGCGAGAGAGAGAAGTAGAAAGAGAGACTAAAGCACTTCAACTGAAGTTAAGATTTCTGGTTTCTGATGATGGATTGGCGAATGAAGATAGCAGAAAAGAAATTATAAAAATGCTCTGTAAGCGGTTGGTAGATACCCTGTATACATATAATTTTAAAATATATCTATATAATATAAATAATACCAAAATGATTGTGTCTGAAACTTTCAGTGCTTGCTATGCGAGAAGCTGTAAACAGATGGAGCTCACAGATCAAGAACGAATGCATTCGAGAGGGCAAATGTTACATACGATCTAATACAACCATTAGCCTAATTTCATTCCGTATAGGGTATATAAAATTGTGAAAGCAAATCTCAGCGTCTAAAACAATTGTTTTTGAACGTAGCTAGCGGCAATCCTTGAGCCATGTTAGGGGCATGCCGGCGACGCACCTTACTATATAGTTGTGCTTGGAATAAAAAAATCAAAATTAACTGGCTTACCTTCAAGTCAACGCTATTTGTCAGCTTCTCTGTGCCTGTTAGCGGAAAATCCTTGTAGCGTACAGTTGGATTTTTAGCCGGAAAATGGCTAACGACGTTGACTTCATGTCCGGCCTCGGCCAGGGCCTGCATGATGGGCTGAAAGAAGTGGAAGTGACTGACGCCGGGGTGGGGGAACAAGCCCAGAATTTTCAGCGGCCGACCGGCATCCACTGAGACGTGCTCCTGCAGCAATAGCAGCAGCGGCAGCAGCGCTGCCAGCAACGAACGCAACTGCGTCATTTTGTTTCTGTTGGCATGCGTGACAAATTTAAAATTAGAATACAAACGAACGAATGAACTAATCAAAAAGCGAAAAATAACAAAGCGAAAAATAACACTTGTTGCACTTAATTGTTGCACATTCTTAACCTTCGATGCAATTCGCACTGCGCATGCCTCAAAATTATGTAAATAAGTGCAGTGTGAAATTGCATGGAAAGCACCCAAATAGCTATTAACTTACAACTTACCAAATCTGTGACGAAACGCGCTAATTGCGTTTGTGAATTAAGCAGCAGTAATAAAAATCAATCAAATGCGGAGCTTTATTAAATGCAAAGCTGTAGAAATGACGAAGACACCACGTAGCACTTGTGCGCTTCGCAATCGACATGCGACTGACAAAATCCATATATTCACAGTCATAGTGTAACCAAAAAGCCGTTGACTGCGCTGCCACTGAATTTCGAAAATTGAGCGCGTATTTGTGATCAAGGGCGCTTGTCCGTTTTCTACACTTACGCATTTATTACACTCTCTCTCAACGAAGTTGCCAAAATGCCGCTGACTGCATCGCCGCTTCGTTAACCGAAAGTGAGCGTATGTTTTTGCATGTATTAGTGATCTCTCTCACAGTTTGCTCTGCTTCAATTTGAACTGCTCTCGCAAAACTTGCACAGTCAGCAAATACACATACGCACGCACATGCATGCGGTTCTTTTACTAAATACCGAAGATAATCAAGAGTATATTGATTTTGTCCAGTGCCTCTTCACTGATTACGTCGCCTGGCAATTGAACTTGAGTATAGTGTATTGTACAGTCAGTTGTGTCCGATTGCAATGGTTTTCTCATTTGCTTCCTAAACGAATTTCTGCAGATGTCAATGCACTCACATTTGAAAGCTCTATATATTTAGGGGCTTCAACCTGAGCAACCGGTTGCGCTGCATACATTAGAAAACGCATTTGATCGTCGCTCTTATCGGTTATTATCTTGTTTCGGAGTCAACACATGAGAGCTGTTGCAAAACGTTATCAGTTTGATTGAATAATGTCTAGTAGCACGTTTTATTGTCAGCGATATATAAAGCTTGCCCTACTTTATTCAGCTGTATATATGTTTCACACATATTTGGTTGTATGTGTGTAATTTTAAACATGTGTTCAGGGGTGACATTCTCGTGATGTCAACAAAAATAGGAATGATAAGAAATATTCAGTATATATATATGTATGTATATGGGTGTCTGGGGAAAAATAAAATAGGCAGAATCCCAAGTAAAAACCCTATTTCATTATGACTATTGATGTATTCTAACATACAAACACTTATTCACACTAATTGTTTCAATGTAAACAATATGAAATGAGATCAACTGCTTGTAGTAATTTTCCAATGCTATCAGCTCAGTTCCTACTTTAATGAAGATTATATTTAAAAGATTACGGACCTCTAATTGTCTATAATTTCATTATCAAAGAGCAAAGTAAAAATGAAATATATAATCTTATACGGTTAGGCCGAAGTTCTAGACTCTACGAACACGAAGCTCAGATGTTGCCTTCGTGCATTAGTCAGCAAACGTCGCATGAAATTATATTGAAATTGATAAGATTTTGTTAGGTTCCGTTTTCACGGGTGAGAAATTGATTATTTATTGTTTTTTAGTTTTGCGTTTCTTGGCAACAGCTCCCCCGCCACAAAGCCATTTCAAAAGCTTAAACATGATCCAGACTGCACCGAGACCGAGTAATATGACAATCAAGCAGCAGATGTAGATATCGATGGAGTTATAGACAAACCAACTGATATTATTGCCAGCGGTCTGAACAAGTGGAGCTCCATTTGTGGTGATCACATGCTCCGTCCACCAAACCGCCAGTTTAAGTGGGTCTTGGGGTCGCTCGCGAAAGGCAATTGTCAAGCGTTTCATCTGCGCTGCAAAGCTGTAAGGAATTATAGTAAGTAACTATCTCTAGAGATCAAAGAAATTGATAACATTTTATTATATAAGTATCTATATATATAGTTCCACTTACCCCTCATCCAGTATAGTTCTCAGCGCCTGGCTAAGATGTGGCTCATCGAAGTGTCTAAATTCTACAATAACTCCGAAACGACGCTGAACAACGGCAGCAGCATTCAGGAACTGATCCCCATAAAACGGCGTTACGAGCATTGGAACGCCACAGTAGATGGACTCCGAAGTTCCCAGTAGGCCGCTATGTGAGACGAAGGCTTTGACTTTCGGATGACAGAGCAGATCACGCTGAGGCAGCCAGTCGAAGGTGTACAGGTTTTTGGGCTTATTCTCAGGCATGGCTTTGTTTATCCAGCGCATCACGAATGTATAGCCAGAGAAATTGGAGATGGTGTCGAAGAGTGCCTGAAGCTTGAGAGCAGATAAAGTACTGGGATCGACCATCGAACCCCAGCTGATGTAGATGACGCCCAAGTTGGACTCATCGAAGAGGCTTTGCAGGTGCTAAGGAAATTGAAAATATTATAACCATTTTTTAACCCATTGGCATGCGCGCATGAGCTACCTTGGGCAGGGGCTTGGCTGGACCCACATGCAGACCGCCAACCTCCACAACATTTGCGGTATAGGCGTTTGAGCCGGATAGAGAATAATGCTGATTGATGAGCATAAGACTCGTGTTCTTCACAATCTCATTGATGGGCGGCAGAGCTGAGCCGAAGCGTTCTCTGATCAAAGCATCTGTGGCAGGTTCAGTTATATATCTTAAAACAGACAAAATAGAATCAAAATATATATAGAATATATATATTTATGCGTACTTATGCAGCGTGTTGGCAATATGAAAGTGAAGAAAGTTATTGAGACGCGCCACAAATCCCATCTTATCGGTGTAGGGCAGAAAGTTCATGGGCGTGACTGAGTTGATGTAGGGTGTGCCCATTCGTTCATAGTGCCACGACATGATAGCACAGCTGCTCAAGGCAATGACGGGCGCGTCCAGCAGATGGGCAACTGCAGAGAGACAGTCGTTGGCGAACTGCTCCAAGATGATGACATCGTAGCGCTGCGACGAGTTCAGCAGCTGTGCAATCAGTGGCGAGTGCAATGCCACCTGGCAGGAGCGCAAGCTCCAGTCGTGCAGCATGAAGAAGTTGCCCATTTTGATGGGTATGCCCAATGGATCTGATTGTTGTTCAATGTTCTGCCAGAAGAAAGAGATGAATTTCCGGGCAGTGATACTTGGAGCACATTTACCTTCAGATCCACGAAATCCGTGAGCAGCGGCATGCCCTCGAAGACGTAATCCGTGTAATTGGCCAACGGTTCCTTTAGGGGAAAATAGCTGTACATGCTGACATTGTGACCGCGTTCGGCCAGCGCCACAAACAGGGGACGAAAGAAATCAAAGTGGCTCTTGCCGGGATGTCCGAACAATCCAAGTATCTGGGCCGACTCAACAGCTGATGGCCAGGCCAGGCTCAGCAGTAGCAGCAGCCGCGGCATCAACTTCAACCGCAACATGTTGCAGCCGCACAGAACGTTTACTTAACTTCAAGGTTCAGATACTTTTGTATCTGCAAATTCAAATTTGCAAACTGTAATCTTTATGTTTAGATCGTGACCGGCATTTAAGTTTTCCTACCTATTGTTAGCTGCTTTGTTGTGGTTGCGGTTGCAATTATGCTTTGTTTTTTTTCTCTCGATTGCGGAACGATCAAGTCTGAATTAAAGCCGTTTATCTAACGAGTTCTTAAATGTCAAATAAAGGTTGCAAAGTGCATTGTCTTGCAGTAGTCATGTAGTTAGTCGACTGTGTTAATATATCGCTTGACACTTGAAAGAACTTTGTGCTTTGTAATTTAGAGCTTCGATTTATTTTAATAATAGATGTAAGATATTTATTTAACAATTTTTCAGTCTTAACTGCTTTAGCCGCAAAAATAAACTAATCACTAACAACAAATTGTTAAATGCCGAACTGGCAGCAACTTTTGTGTCAGTTAAATAATCTAACAATCATGGGCGTAGGCGTTACTGTAGAGCCTTCAGCGAATTTTGTTGAAATAAAATATTAATATTTTTGCATTTTTCTAGATGTTAGACTTTATTTGACTCTTAGAAGTTTATCAAATTAAATTGTTTAGCAAGAAAATAATTGCAATTACAATTACTCAATTACTTCTTAAACTTTGCCCCTATTCAATTTAGCTCGACCTACTCCCTTGTGTGTTCGCTGTTCTATCAATGTTTACTTCAGTTTGTTGATAGAAAAACTAAATCTATATATTTATATCTACACACACCTATACACACACACAAGCTGTGCACTTTAGACAGCCCTTAAGGTTTTCCCCCATATTTTGTTAGTTTAATCTTATGTAACAATTGTTAATGATAGCCGCTTGTAATTAAATTTGCTTAATGAACTGTTGAGGCGTATATAAGATATTTTAAAGAAAATATTATTATTTAGCTGTAATTGCATTTAAAAATAGCCAATGGTTCTTTCAGAGGAAATATAGGAACAAATTTTTTAGTTTAAATTAAGATAACAATTTGTTTCTAAATATTATCTTATAAGTTCCAAATCCATAAATATTTATTTATGTATATATTATAAGATATATATATATATCTATATATATATGTATGTATTTTACTTGGTATATATTTCAATAGATCACTTGTTCTATCTTTTCACTTGATCAGAAAAATTTGAATTCTCTTATGTTAAATTTCTTTATTGTTCTCGTTTCAAACGTTACATATTTCTAACTTATGTAGTGCACAAGTTATACATAATTAAATACATATTAATGTTATATTTTAAAAAAGATTTTCTGTGCACCTGACAACTGTGATTGAAATAGAAAATGAAACGAACTCGTCACAGTCGCGTTGCCAGCCAAACTGAAATTGCAAATTCAATGCGAATCGGTAAAAACGGAAAACTTGACTCAATGCTGAAATAAACAGAGACTCAGCCACAAGCACAGATCGCAGTCGTAGACTCAGATCTCTTAGACCACTCGGACCCTGCCAGGCCCTGAGTCGTGAGCGTGTTGCAACAACAACAAGTTCGGTTACGCTCAACTACATGTGTGGTATGAAAGCGTATGAAGCAAATGCAAATTACCTGGGAAATCAGGTAAATTGCAAGCTATTAAAGATTCTCCAGTTAAATAGTTAATTAAATTTAAACAATTGCAGCAAAATATATTTTTTATTTATAATATTTAAATGTAGCTTTGCAAACTGTTTTTTTTTTTATTAAATAAATAAATATGATTTAATTTCATTTCAGCTTTGTTTGTTTTCGTTAGGGCGAGTTTTTATTGTTTACATAGCAAACGTTAATTGTTAATGCATAAATAATTAAGCTTTCCTTTGTAATACAGTAGATACTTGCTATGTTGAACCAATTGTATTTTTTGTAAGAACATTAAGAATTTGATTTTTATTTTATATATTTTAATATATATTTATTTAGCAGAACATTTTTTTAAATCATAGCAATAATTTGTATGAATTTCTTAAAAATTAAAAAATTGTAGTAATTTCGCTTATCGACATTAAAGAATGAAATTTGAGAATTCCATTGTAAAATCGCTTTTTTCCGGGTTTAAAATTCCTTTTATTTATGTGAACTGTTTCGAATAAATGACTAAATGTAATTAATATATTTAATATTTGATATTATTTAATTTCATATTAATATGATTAAATTAATTTTTTATATATATTTTATCAAAATTTTATTATGACATATTCATGTTCTCCCCATTTTGAAAGGCCCGCTGAGATAATTTCTTGTGTAGCGCCTTAAGAAATGCCATAAATAAAATATTTTTAATTTTCATTCGCTGTCAAACGCACATTTTTTGTAGCATACTTTTGGGCGGCCGTCTGATTGGGAACGCTCCACACGCAGCCTAAACTTTGTAGATTTTTATGAGATTTGACAAAAGTTTGGGCCCGGGCTGAGGCTTATTAAAATTCACTCCACTTGATAATTCTGCCGAGTGAGCGCAATAACCGTAACTTTTGAGATACTAATTTCAAAATGTTGCAGCATCGCATAAAATATCATTTGGGAAATGCTGGAATTTTCACTCGCTTATTGGCGAGCGGGGGTGAAAGGCCACGTCGGAATAATTGAGGAAATCATTTAATTAGGAAAAATTTTCACGTTCCGCTCAATTAGCGCACAACTTGAGGCAGAGATTTTTGGTAACTGGACGCTGTCAACAGCTGCGATACTGTGTGGATGTTGTTGGTTGACAGCCAGGGGGGAGACGCCTGGTTGGCCATGGGCGGGGTGCGAACTTCTCGCTGGGCTGACGCGACGTCTGGCAGGAAGTGTTGTGTTTATATTAGCGACACGTCATTAAATGCGCCTTAATTGTGAAAATTTTCACAAGCGAAAAGTGAAATGCCAAGTGCAGTCAAATTTACGACACATTATCAAATCAAGTGTGGCAGAAGTTGTTGGAAAATTAGGCGCCCAGCAAACATATCAACAGCTGTTGCTGCTCAATGAAGGCGATTTTCAGGAAAATCAATAGCTGGCTAAGCTGCTAACCAAATCTGGCCTAAAATCTTAGCTTTAAGTTTAGCTTGATTTTATTCTTGATCAAGTTTGTTGCAGGCAAATAAATCATTAATTTCAAGGGACAATGTTGATGGTTACATTTATGGTTCATGCCAAGTAAGTGGCTTTTGGTTCGGTTCATAAACCGTTTCTTCTGCAAGCATTATGGAGAATATGCGGAAAAACTCTTAAACATAAATTTAGGTATATACATATACAGATTTAAGATACTAATTAATGAAGTCGAAAAATATACTGATCCACTTTTTAACATCCCTTTGTTATGTACATATATATATATATATATATATATATATTTTTTTTTTTTTATATATATCTAAACCCTTTCCACTCACATTTTATTGATACACGTTTGAAAAAAAACTCACCCGTTCGTATCAATTTATTTTAACGCCTTTGGCATTTGAACTCTGATTATGTGCACTCGCTCACACTTTCTTTTACTCATTTTCTATTATACATTTTCCATTTTCCTTGAGCTTTCTATTTGCTGATAAACGGCAATAAAATGGAATTTTAAATGATAGAAATCGCATTGAAAAGTCGCAGATAAGCTAAAAGGGTTACAGTTAGCGCGTGTTTGGCTTGTGAAAAGTGGGCGGGGCACCTTGAACATTTTCCAGCCATTTACATTTAATAGAAGTGCATGAAAAGATAAGCACACGTGTGTGTGTGAGTGTGTGAAATTTATAACAAATCAATAAAATGACAATAGGTGCAAACTTTATCGATGGATTTTGATGGAGAGTGGGGAGGTGGGATGGAGTGGGGTGGGTTTTTCGGGAGGGAGAGACGCCTCCCGGGAACGTCGTTCTATTGTGCAAAAACATTTGCCATTGATACGACTCTGGGACTGGGAGCTGGCTGAGCTTGCTGAGTTGCTGCATGCGATAGGCGGGGACTCGACTCGAAACGAAAGTTTTCGATAAACAATTTTTCGCACGGAAGTGCAATTTGAAGTGAATGCTATCGGTTCGATGTCCTGAAAATGCGGAAATTATACAGAGAAAGTTTCTAATACATTTGTTACCGCCACTCAATCGCTTTGTCGTAAGGTGTTGCGCCGCGGCTCAAGGGTTACCTGTGCAGCCTGCAGACAGGTAGGCTAATAGTTCGCAGAGATAGTTTAAAAGTTTTGCGTGAAATAGATAGATTGTCTATGTTGGGCAAGTAATGGGCATTACTACTAGTAGTTGAGCCTTATTGGTAGCATTGACTTTTTTGCGCAGCTGTGACCTTTATAGGTATAAGAATTTCGTCCTGCAAATTGAGCTAATAATCGGGCTTAAAGCAAGCTGAAATGTAAATATAAATATTCTTAAATATAATAAGTTGAGAAATATTCTTTTTTATTTTAATATCATCAAACTTAAATTTGTTGTTTTGTCTTGCCAAGTTCAAGGATTTGTTAGAGTATTTGGCCAATGGCCTTGCCCGTGTCTGCAGTGTAAGGAAACCACTATCCCGGCCAGCTAGCACTTACCTGATGCAGGTGTCTTTAATTGACAGGCGCCAACTATTTATGGCCACGTCACGTGATCTATAAACGTGACGACCCCAGCCGCTGGCCATATGCTGCCTTGATTTACACGTAAGCTGCTGCCGCCTTTGAGACATTCGTAGTCTTATGGCCAAAGGTGTGCTATCCCTCGGCTAAATCGATTAACAAACAACATTGAATGTGTGTCTGTGTGTGTGTGTGTTGTAGCTATTTCCGTGACAGTAATCAATTTATTTTTGGCAGTGCGCCGATTGCGTTTCCGTTCCTTGGAGCACTCTGCTGGAGATTGGGGAAAAGTTGAGCCTGGGCCAAGTTTTTGGGCCGCGTTACGTTTCGTTTGGTTTTTGGCGCAGCGATTTCCGCCAGAATGTCGATAAATCATGTCCCGTCGCAGCAAATAGTGAAAATGCCAGACGAGGATTTCGAATTTGGAATTGGGCACGGCTAGGTGGGCATTGTTATGTTGCATACGCTGCGACAGATCCTTTCACGTTGTTGGCGTGATAGATAAGTTGACAGTAGAAGGGTTATCGCCGGCTGTCTCTGCGTCACGGCTTAATCAATCTTTCAAACTCTCTATTTTTTTTATTTGGCAATTAATTAATTTGCGAACCCGAGCTGACGGCACGTGACCAGAAAAGTTGACTCGCAGCACGCAAGAGACACAGAGAGGGAAGGGACAGCGAGGCGACGCCTCTTTAAAATCTCGCCAATCTACTGCAACGGCTCCACAATTCGGATTCTGGCTCGGGCTCGGGCTCGGGCTCGGGTCAAGTGCTGGAATTGATGTTTCGTTTATGATTTATCGTTGATTCTTGGCCAGTCATCGTATCAGTTACCCCCAACCAGGCCGGGCTGACATCTAATGGCCAGCATATTGCACAGCAGCCATGCAAAAAGCCAAAACTAAATTGAACTTAGAGTAGCTAAGGCTGCCAGCCTAGCGATGAGCGCGTGACACGAGAGAATAATTGAATAAGCTTAGCTATTTGTATGTATATAAGTGTGTAAAGTTTTTGTTCTTAAAGTCTTAGATCTCTAGAAACTCTGACTTAGTCTTATCTGATCAAGATGGACTTACAGCTTGGACCTAGGACTTCGCTTTCTGGAGAGCAGAATCTATCGGCTAGTGGACTTGGCCCAGACGAGCAGACGTTCTCTAAAGAAGTAATGAAAATATGCCAAGATAATAGATAAAGATAGTTGCTTCTTTAGAGACTTTTCACTTTTAGACTGAAGCCGCAAACAATAGAGCAGGAGTATAAGCTACTATAATCTATATCTGGTATATGATAAACATATATAAGTTTTCTGTTTCAGACTAGGCTTCTCTATTAACTAAAATATATATAATAATAAAATAAAAAATATATATAATAATATATATAATAATAATAATTTCCTTATATATAATATTAAGTTGAAAATGGTGCTATAAAATCCCAACGTTTTCTTTTCCGACTCACGCACGCATCACTAAATGGGAGTTTACGCTGAAAGCATCGTCGTCGTCATGCTGTCATAATCATCCGAAGACAGCATTCATCCATCCAGGCCGTTTTGCAACGCCCACATGTGCGGGGCCGCACCACCCGCGACTCGCCGACATCTCCATCAGCGGGCAACTCCAACCAACGCAATCCTGATGTAATAACCATGTTTTCAGCTTGTAATGCGGCAGGGTAACAACAACAACGACAGCCTGGCCCATTACGTTGCGGGGGTTAAAGTCAAGTCCCGGGCAATAGCCAGCAGACGAGGCGAGGGTAGAGCAGGGCAATAGCTGGGCCAAGAGGGTCGCCAGTGTTCTGTGAGGGTGCAGGGCGCTACTTGTGAGTTGTGAATTGTTTTTGATGTTAAATGTGTGATAATTTAATGACTGCCTGACGCATCGCAGAACGCCCGGACTCTGTCTCGCAATTGAGCAATACGGCAAACTGTTGGAGTGCCTGGGTGGTGGGGGGTCGGTCTGCTGCTCTCTATAAGAACGCAGTCTTCACTTGAGCTGAGCGTTTAATTTACTGGAATAATAAAAACGTTTTTCGGGCATAAAATCCTGTGGCTGGATATGATTTGTGCACATTTCGATGTAACAGATTGTCTTTTAATGGTTTGCAGTCTTACGAAAATTGTATTGTAGGAGCAGCAGCAGCAGCAGCTACCATCCCATAATATCGGAGAGGGTTGTTTCCATTTCAATTTTGCACTGATACGCTGATTAGCCACTTGGTTGGCTGTGGGAAAAACCGTGAGTAACTGATATGGAGATGCGGCAACATTGTAGCGCCAAGCCACTTCCAGTTAACCTAATCCATATTCTATTTATTGATAATTACACTGGCTTGTCGCTAGGCAAACTTTTATCTTTATTCATGAAACCAGTTTTAGTTATCTATCTTCCTCTATTCATTTGCATACCTGACTCGTGCTCTGATATTTGCATAATATCGAAAATTCTTCCATTAAATATTAGAGGAACTATTTTCTTTTATATCCCTGATGAGTAACTCGCAAATTAATAATGTATACAAAACCTAGAATGGCTGAAAGATTTTTTTATAAAAGATTTGTAGCAAAACTATTCAGTATTAGGAAGTAACTTTCCTTAGTTGATATGAGTAATGAATTTATAATTTGTTTACTATTTATTGATTTATATATTTATATATGCAATTGATGTTTATACTGAGGTATCTATTCGTATTAAGAAGTGGCTGATTGTATAAGCATCTTTTTTAGAGAAACTTTTTAAGGCTATTCTCGAAGATGCTAGATTTTAATGCGTGAAGTTAGAAGATATTTAAAAGCTTTAGTATTGGCATAAGTGCGCATGGTCAACTCTCTAAAGTATTGGGATCTACAGTAGAGCCGAGCCTGCTCCATCCCTCCACCTGTCTGTTCATCCAATTCTGCCATTCGTCCGAATTTCTGTCTGCTCGTCCGATTGTCTGTTTGTCTATATATATATGAAGTCTCTTATCAACATCTGATCAACACGTGCGATCAATTTTGTTTCAAATATTTCAAATTTTTCGTTATTTAAGAAAATTCTTGAAGATGCCTTGAGCTAGATTATATTATAGAAGGTGGACAATGAGTCTACTTCCCTAAAATATAAAATGTTGAGCTTTGTTACATATATGTACATAATTTTGGTTATGAACTGAATTTCAATAAGAACAATAATGTTTCAATATTTACCTTATACATTCTTTATTTTAGGCTGTCTGAATCTATCAATCATACCACTTTAATATTTCTATACTTCATTTGAAGCATATTAATTCACTTCTGGTAGTAGAAAATCGGTATATATTGTTGTGTTAACTACATACAATCAATAGAATAACTAGTTGGTGGCATAAAACCAGCTTAAACAAACTCAATGGTCCCAGCAAACTGGAATCTAAATATATTTAACATATTTTTAACTGTGACTAAGTCGCAAGTGTGTCAAATATGTTTATTTATCGATCAAATGTTGTCTCTTATCGATAACAGCTGACTAGAAAGGAGCTGTAAAATCATGTCTATTGTCATGTTTTGGGAGCACCCAGTCAGGTCTTCTTTTGGCCTTAGCCAGCTTAGCGTGAAGCCAAGTGAAATTTCGGCTTCGAAGCTAATCAAAATTTATGCAAATCCGAGCCAGCATTTTGATTTTGCACTAATGTAGAAATATGGCAAATGTGTGTTGGAAAAAAACCGAATTTCAAATGTGCAAAATGTGGCAAACACCACGCGCGCACACACTCACACCCGCATACACGTACACACATGTGTGTGTGTGTGTGATTTGCATGCGATGATAAAGTGGGCGCAGACAGCCGCAAACAATGAAAAATGTTTTTCAGCCGTCGACTGTGCGCGTGGGCGGGGCACTGAAATTCATGCTAATAATTTAATTTGCCAGAGAGGAAAATCCAAAAAAAGAAAATGTATAAATATATATATACATATATATATATATATAAATTTTTTTTTAACTGCGACACGTGACTGCGATTTATGAGTTTAAACAGGCGTTCACAATTAATTTTGAAATATTATATATTTATTTCAGACGTCATCTCAATTTAATCGTAATGCGGCTTAGCAGAAGTGCAGGGCATTGAACTGCTCCCGATTATTGTTGACCATATTGTTGTATTTATAGGCAGCTGCAGTTTGGGGACTGCTGCTGCTGCTACTGCTGCTGCTGCTGCTGTGCACGCTGAGCCTGTTGCTGTGCAGGAAGCTGTCAGCCGGACTGCTCGAGATGCCATATTTGCCGAGCTGCATGTCCTGCGTGTTGCGCATGGGACTCAGGTGTTTGGCTGGGACGGCCTTGCTGGCGGTGCGAGTCTGATGGACCATGGTGATAGTGTATTCAAAAGTTCAATTTCAGTTGTAAAGCGTACAGATGCGACTTGAGTAAGTCAGGGCACGTTGGTTAGATGTGTGAGCACGAAGAATTCCAGGCGATTGCCGCAGTTGCTGGTCCGAGAACCCTTTTTAGAAGATAGATGCTTGGAGAGGCTGCAAGATTGCAAGAGTTCTCTTAGTAAAAAGTACAGATACTTTGATTTTCCTTTCTCACACTCACCTTAAATTATTTAAAAGCTTCGCTTTGGTGTCCGGTGTCCTCATTGACACATTTGATTTGACCCGTTGAGAAAAAAGTTTTTAAGTTTTCAGAAAGAAGATATTTTTTTGGTTGATAGTTTAGGCCACGTTGCTTGCTGTTGGTTTTGTGTTTTGAAAGCGGTCTCGGCACGCTGCTTTTATACCTCGAAGCGAGGCGCTGATCTAGTTGGCGAGATCATCAGCCGCATCATGTGGCCGGTGCGTGTTAGCCAAGTTGTCGCGCTGGCCGCGACAAACACGTTACGGCCAGACGCATATGCAAATCTTTGATTGTTATGAAAACAGCCAAAAAACGTTAACTAAATCGTTATAGACGCGTCAATGCTGTCCCAAAACCAGCCAAAATATCGCAAACTACGTCATTTTTCGAGCTCAACTTTTGCGTAAACACAAACATCTTAAGGTGTTTCCCCAAGGGAATGAAAGTTGGAGCTGATATCAAGATTCTAAATAACTAGTTGAATATTTAGACAGTTAAAAGGAAGCGGCATTCCCTAGCTAAAGTCTCTGCAGCTTGCTTTCCTCCATAGCTTAGTTGATCTCTGAGTTTATTAGGATTTGAGTCTAAAGAATTGGTTCTGATATGAAATCAAACTGAGTGTTTCTGATGCTTAACTTTATTAATTTCGTTGGAAGCTTAATTTATAATACTTTCATGGCTTTAAATTAAGTTTTTTATTTCGATATTTTTTGTTTTATTTTTTAATTTGATTTTCAAATAAAATTTTTTGTGCTGATCAAATGTTTTGCGAGTTAAATAACATTTATTTGTGTATATTCTTTACTATTTAATACATTTTTTAAGCTTGTGGAAGAGGGTGAAATTATCTAAAATACGATATATTCAAAAACAAAAATTAATTTAAAATTTTTAAGTCTCTAGTTGTTGTGGCTTTCGAGGATGGGCAGACGGATATGGCTAGATTGACTCAACTCGCCATCCCTTCGCCTTCTTTTAGTTGTTACAAATATTTCCACAAAGTCATTATAAAGAAAGCTTAAAATTTGATAATTTAGCTTAAGTTAAACATTAATTCAAGCACTATTTAAAGAGAGTTTATTCTTTTTTCTGTATATTTATCTTTAGCTAATTTCATATTTTTTAAGCTAACTTTAAAACAAGTCAATTTATGAGACTTCATTTGAGAACTTATCTACCCAAGTCACACCTAACGCTACCTATTTCAATAAACTTCCACCTCAAAGTAATTTAATCAAAATGTTTATCTTAAGCTTGATTCCACTTTATATACCAAAAATATTTGCGCTTTTGCTACCTTTAGCGCAATGGAATATTTTGTGCGGGGGCCAATGTCTGGGCACGTTTTCAAATTGAAACATTAATTAAGCCTTAACAAAGAATCTGTCCATGTGTCTGGCTACATTTGCATAATGCATATAGCAAAAATATATTTTGGCATTTAACGGTCAGTCACACATTAGCAACGAGTCCAATTTAAGGCCAGAGCCAGGTGCAAATATTGACATTTAAGCTGCGAGGACCCTAGACGTTCAAAGTACAATAGCCAGTTAATGTTTTTTATATTGTTTTATGTCGCAGTCAATGGCCGATTGTTGGTTGTAAACAACAGTAACATACAATTTGTTTAATTAATAATTTCTATTGAATCTATATAGAATCACGTAGCTTTTATTAAAACAATATTATTATTGCAGCTCGATTGCAATTAAAAATATTATTGTAAGTCAAGGGATTGGTTCAATATGATAAATGATGTATGTAAGGAATTTTATATAGAATTAAAGAAGATGTTAAGAGGCAGCACTGAAAAGGTTTCATTCGTGTCTTGTTCTAACTGAATTTTAGTCTAACTAAAATGCATAAGATATACTATATATAGTTTACTTTTTTTTTAAATATATATTATAATTTTATACATACCAGCTTGGCCTGTTTTTAAGATGTTTTAATGGAATTTCTATAAATAGATTCTTTTTGCTGAAAACATAGTTCCTCGTGCCGTAGCATTATATCATATAACTGGATAAAGAAAGGTCAAATTTGATATACGATTTTTAAGCATAAGAAACTTAAGATAGATAATTTATAATTTGAGTAAAATTTGGGTATATATAATATAGCATATGTTTAAAAGTAAAAAGCTCTCGTGTTACTTGAAGTAACTATCAGTTCCTGCAGCTTCATATTATTTATAGAAAATACTATGTAAATACCTTGAAAATGCTCATAAGTTTTTATAGATGAAATATTTATAGATCGGAGCATAGATTTTTCTTTACAATTTTAGATTTTGACTTGATAAAGGATTGATAAATATTTTTTAATATGCGTATTTTATATTCTGAATAATGCTCATCTCAGAAACCTCTTCGTAAGCTTCATGTTTATCAGGTATTCGAAATTTATGGCATTATTTATTATAGCAAGTTATAGCACAGATCGATCTACCTCTAGATAACTATATATTTACTATATAACAACAAGAACAACAACCGATTTATATAGAAATATGTACATTAAGCTGTTAACTGGCTTTCATGTTGATTTCTTGCCCGAATTGGCTGATGCAATGCAATGGGCACTTTTCATCAGTCAGGCTCATGCATAATCTACCGATATATACATACTCTACATATATGTATATATATATGTGTACACTCAGAGACAGTCGTAGTATTCGATATATACATATTCATATTATTCATGCGATGGCCACACGACAGCTGAATGGAAATGCAACAGTGTTGAAAAACAACAAAATAGTAAAAAAAATGTTAAGATAACTCATCTAGGCCGAGTTCCTCATAGAGCCGGCCGGTGGCAAATGTTGACGCAGTAACTCGTACTACGTGAGTCTCAGCAGGTTCAGACAGTGGAGTAGCGGGCACGTATATTTTTGTTCTTTGTATATCCTGTAGTGTAAGTGTGCGAGAGGGTATTTGCGAGAGATCGAAAACTCGATTATTTGCTATCATCAGCATTCTTTATATAGAAGAAACCATTAAGGATTAAGAATCCTTAGGCCTATCACTTATTGGTTAATGTTTCATCTATTCACCTTCAGCTCGAGCTGGGCCTCTTCTGAATTTTTGATATTTATTCGATTAAGAGATGAACTGGATTCCCCAATTCACACATTTGTACAGGGCATCTGTTAGTCGAGCACATGAAGCCATTGCTGCTTTCTGGCTCGTTTTTGTTGCGTTTTGCAAATGTGACAAACCAGTTAGTTGGCAACTCTAATTTGCATTGCCGACGACGACGGCAACTGCAGCGTCAACGTTGAACGAGTTTTTGTCTGCGTCTGAGTCTGGGGCCCCAGAGGTCTGAGGTCTGGTCACTGAAACACAGGGCCAACGCTCATCGAGGTAGAGGAGCCGGCGGGTGGGAGGGCGTCTCTAGCGAGGGCGGTTAGCGGGGCTTTCTTTATTGCTCATGCGACACGTTGCCTTGCAGCTGCTTAGAACCGCCACGCTGAGCTCTCGGGCTCTGCATTTTGTAGCATTCGCTTATTTAAACCAGTTGCAGGCATCGTTAGAGGCTCAGTAGAAAGTTCCGAACAGAGGCGAACGCTGCAGCTGATCCAAGCGCTTGGCAAACCGTTCAAAAAATCCTTGAGAGGAAAAAATTCAAAATCACAAATTTATCATTTCTTTATCAATGTGCAAATTGCAAAAGTTTTGTGTCAATGCCCAAAATTAGCAAACCGGTTACTAAACTAGACAAGCAATTAGGGTAAGTCCAGTGTTGTTAAGCCATGCGAGAAACGAGTTAGCTAACCGAGGCTATGCGTGTGACATTTTGCAGATTGGACAAGAGTCTAGCGTGCAGCAAAGGATCCCGTACAGGCAACTCGGCCAACAATAAGGAACTGAAAGTGTTGACACTGCTGCAGACTGTGCCGTGAACCTTGAACTCTCTACAACTGCTAGCTAAAACGGAAAAATTTGGCTACTGCGCAGCTCAGTGTAATTGGAAATTGAAATCAGGAAGATAAAAATTGAATCCCGCAAGAGAACCAGCTCAAGTGAATCCAACAAAATGGTCTATACAGAACGCACCGACAAGTGCCTGGCGTCCAGCAAAGACAATGCCGGACAGCAGGGCAAATCCCAGCCGAAGCATCAATCCAGTTCCAGTTCCAGCTCCAGCTCCAGCTCCAGCTCCGGCGCCTGGAGCAGCAAGGCATCGAGCGACGAGAAATGGAAATACAATAATATGGTCAAGGATAATCGCGAACAGTTCAATGGCATGCACTTCTCCTAATCCCCCAAGAGGGGGCTCGGAGTGGGGGCTTCTTTGGGCTAGTTGATTAGCTAGAATGCAACGTGATTAAGACCAATTGTTATATCTGGGTTCTATGGGTAAATCGTAACTTAGTGTTAAGTGTGTTACTAGAAATTGTAAAACTAAAAAATCAAAAATTTACTAAAGAAAAAACAGATGCGCAAAAAGGCAAAACAACGTGTTTTAAGTCGCAATTGAAACAAGTTGAGGTTATGTCGAAGCCCAAAGCGTAATGACGACTTTAATACTGGATATTAAATTCCAATTGAGTTAGTTTGTCTTAAATAATACCTCGAAGCTAAGTAACTCTTCCGATGAGCTTAACTTTTATTGAGTGACGTTTGAGCGAAAGTATCTCGCAGTGGGAAACTAATAAGCATATATGAAAACCAGTTTTGATTCACTTGAATTATATATATTAGTAAACAAGTTGTTTACAGTCTTAGGTTAGTTGAAAGGTTTCACAGTTTAATGCTAGTTAGAGCTGAGCCACGTTCGGCTTTCACACTGAGCATGTTTTGGATAACTATGCTGAAGATCTTATGTGTATAAATAAATAATATATAAGTAGATAGAATCATATGACTGATAATATACTAATTGTATAACTGTAATGTAGATAGAATCATATGAGTGATAATATACTAATTGTTGTGCGCAGTCTAACTTTATATACGATGATCATATACTTTTATTGACATATTACAGCTATAAGCTACAGATATCTAGAAAGACTTACAGATATAGCTATACGACTGGCCTGATATACTTGAATTGTTGACAAGTACAGCTTAAGCATTTGATAATTTGGTCACACTGATGGCAGTGTTGGTTAACGTAAACAATTCATCAATATTGCTCAACTGATTATGAAGAAAGTAACACAGTTATTTAAGTAATATTTATATTTACTTATATAAAGAAAGGAAATATCGAAGGGGATCTGTCTCTACCGCCTCCTGTCGTTTCGTCAATCTGAATATATAAACGTAGCAATCGAGAAGCCTATAAGATCCAGAGACATAAGCCTTTATAATAAGTTGCAAATTTGATTTAAGTCATCGATAACTTTCCATATTTTCATTAAAGCCATTTTAAGGACGTATTCTGGGTATCTCCTAGTTGCTTACCTTCCACTAGAGTCCTCTGCCTTGATATTGATTACTTAATCACAGTTTAAGTTCTTGTTAATCTCTTTAAGCACTTTAATATCTTGCCCTCTCTTGCTAGCCTCAACTCAACTTAACTTTTCTATAGTAATTTGCTTCATAGAAATCAAGTCGTGCGACAGCCATTGACCTTGCCACTTGACTTATGGCATATCGCATCTATTACTGTCTGTAAAACATTTGCATGAGCTGTGGCTATTACCGTGATTAGCCTAACTTATGCAGAGCCCATCTCGCTCCCTTGGCCGGAACCTTGGGCAAAGTGCACTTAATACACATTAGGTACGCTTATTTGACAGACCCCGGGCCAAAAGGCCGTGCTGCAATATTGATGATGTCTGTCCGTCTTGACAAACAGCGGCCAACCCATGGGCCGCGACAGGGGGTGGCGCGTGCTCGACTGTGGGATCAAGTGTATCTCTGGCCGCTCAGGCATTGCCACAGGGTTCGGCACTGGGGTCCGGTAGTCGTTGCGGCGGTATGGTCGACAGAATTTACGCATCGCTTGGATTAGAAGTGCGAAATTTTTGATAATTTTTCAATTGTATTGTTTGCCATCGGGCAGATAGAGTCCTGCGTGGTGGGAGTGAGCTGCGGTCGTCCTTTTGACACACGGCTGCACAGGGCACACGTGGCGCTGGCTATTAGAAACGATTTCCTTTACGGCGCTAATAGAACTTTTTCGATACACAGAAAGTTTTATTTTTATTTTATATATATATATTTTTTTTTTTTTGCCTCTGTGTGAAATGTTGTGGCATTCGCTTCCGGCTCTGTCATGTCGTGCGACACTTGATGTGTCCTGCGTCTAATTGAAGCGACTTATTTTCAATTTATATATATATATAAATGTTTATATATATCTGGCATTTTTTTCCTTTCAGCCTTATAATTACTTTGTTTCCAAGCGCCGGGCGGTCGCTTCTTAATCCTGTCAGGTTGTCGGCATATTTCGGTTTTGGCATCTTCGTCACATTGCAATTAAAAACGCACAGCAGGTGTGTCCCGAGAGTCCTTTGAACTTGTGCTATAAAATGTGAATGTGTCACTTGCAAGGATTCCACAACCGGATGACGACGGCCGCATGGACAAACGGCCGGTAGACAAGCGAAGTTTGACGTCAGACACCCGTGACTCTTGATGCTATCCAAGTGGCAAGCAATTATCACGTCATTATCATAAAGAAGCCTGTAAACAGCTCGTTTAGGTTTTGATTTTTCCCGCGAATCTATTCCATTTGTGCATGCATATGACTTGGCTAAGGGGAGTTTTCAGATTCCATTGAGTATATAACAAATTCTGGTTCACATATATATTTATTATATTATATATTTTCAGATCTAGCTGGATCTATACAACTTCAGTTTCTCCTCATCAATAGCTTTTGGAATAGATAAGTTCATATCTCTTTGCAAAACTATCTCCAATTGGATGACGATCTCTCTCTAATATGGCCACAACCAAGTCATATGTCTACAAGGGTATTTTTTATATTTTCGACAAAGATAATCAACTCATTTTGTTTTGTCCTTTTAAATAGCTCGAGCCCTCAGGCCTAATGAACTCCGGTCCGGCTAGTTTCGGCGAAATGCTGGCTTGTCAACGTGCAGGCTTCCTACTCCGCCTTCTCCTACTCCACCTCTATTATCTACCGCCAGGCTTCCGTTGACAGACAACCCTTATTGTGAGCGGGCGATAACATCTTCCGACAACATGTCACATGCCACGTGCTGGAAAATTATTATGAATAATTTCCGTAACTTCTGTTCGGTTCTGTTCTGTTCAGCGAAATCGCAGCTTGCAGTGAAAAAGTGACATGGCCATGCCCACCATTTGCAAGCCGCCCACTTTCATTTCTGTTCACTATGCCGCGTGCCTGAAGTGTGGGGCGTGCCGTCAGATACAACTTCCGACATCCGCGACAGATGTTTTTGTGCGGGAATGTGCCAAGGCGGCTCGGCTCGCACCCCGCTCACCTCGCTCCTCTCGCCCTGGCTCTGGCCTTGTCTCTGATTTTGGGAGTTGCGCCCTGTTGCAAAACAATTGGCAGGGCAATTTCTCGACGCGGATGTCTCCGCCAGCAGTTCGTAAATTGTATTTGAATTGTGAATATGAATGTACTCGATAATCATGTACGGGCCAAAAGGTGTTCAGTGAGTTCGGCTCGTTCGTGTTCCAGTTATTCTTGTTGTGCGTGTCACATGGCATCTCTGGCAATGTTTTTGTTGGCAAGGTGTGACGCAGTTGCCAAACATCAAACAGACATAATCCAAAATTGATTCGCCCCCACACCCAACCGCTGCAAATTGTGTGATATTTGAATTGACAATTGGATACGCCCCGAGTGATCTATATGCCTGTCACATGAGCTGCGAAAAGGTGCAATTGCAACAGAGTAGCTATAGCACAAAAGTTATTCAATTTGAGCTAGCTGAATAATGTAGATAAATATGAAGTTAAATTATATATATTCTTGTGTAGATTATATTTTCTTTAACTGCTGAATATGAATTTGATATATCATATCATATCTCATCTTGCTTTGGTAGCCCGAATGTAAAAAATATTCAGCTAAATTTTAGGTACTGTAATAATACAAACATGTTTTTTCTAAAATATTATGACAGTATCTCATAGTATACACTAATCTTTGCCTCTACAGCCAATCTTAAATTTTCTAAAAATTTTATTATATTTCAACAAGATATCATATATTGAATTTATAGTTCAGCTGGCCAGTCTCCCTTAGTCTATACGATATCTAGGTGATAAATGATATTTGTTTTTCGAGGGGATACATTCTATTTTCAGGTAAGAGAAAATCTATTTATTGAATCTGAAAACTAAAGACTGAACTTTGTTTAGTGCATTAGTATCTATAAGAATCTAAATCGCTATATCTAGATGAAACTAAACGACTCAAAAGTTGCATCAACTTAGCTCAAGTCTAGCAGCAATTATCAAGAGAATGCTGTTGCATGTAAAAGACAACAAATGTGTATTATTAATAATTTTTAAATATTTTATTCATATTTTATAATGTGCCCTTTGATTATAGTTTCAAAATATTTTAAATAAATTTAAATATAGCCAACAGACAATTAAATTTAATTAATTTTTTGACATGAATCAGCAAGGCAAATCCAGAGCTAATCCCCACAGTAGATAAGCTGCTGTACATCATATCATATCATATAACATTTCTGTTCGCTTTAGATCGAAATTATGTAAATGCTGTATAATTTACAAAATATGGCAAACATGCGGCCAAACAAAGGGCGGCAATTACATGAAAATCTCAATTCAATTGAGAGGCTGAGCATTGAGACGCGGCTGTCAATAGATTGAGAACCAACCACCGTTAAATAAAAATACAAACAGCATGCTCAGCCGCCATTTCTGATCGACAGCTGTCACGAATGACAATTGGATTGCCGAGCAATGTAAATGCCTCGCCCAGGCTCTGGCCTCTGGCCTCTGCCCCCTGCCCTCTGCGCTCAGTTGGCTGACTTCGACTCTGCATCAAAATCATATAAAATATGCAATAAAAATGTGAGACCGCAGCATTCGTATTTATAGAATTCGTAAGGTCATCAAAATCAGAAAAACAATAACAACAACGACAGCGAAACCGATATGAAAATTGAAACAATGGCAATGGCTCTACTCGATCCGGCAGCGACTGGAGGACACTTGAGTAAAACGCAGAAACGTGGTTGCGTTTCGCTGGGGTGTGGGCGAGACAGAGAGACAGAGTGGAAGAGAGGAAATATAAGACTGAGTGTATTCAATTTAAATGAGCTGCGCACTTTAGCAATTGAGGTATACAAATATTCGAGGAACAAATTGTCTGAAATTTAAATATAATATTTGTATATAGATATAAGATAAGATATACATTATCAGATAGGATTCAGTTTTTTAAAGCAATTTGAAGACAGTTTCTAGAAAAACTTTTCTCATATCCAGTACAAATTATAAAAGCCAGCTGACGCCCTAGAAGAC